CCCCCCCCCCCCCCCCCCCCCCGAAATCCTCAGAGCACAATAATAAGCCAAGGAAAAATGCTCGCAGGACTTGCAAGATGAAATGCTTGCTGATACCAGTGATAACCCAATTCAAATGATGAAATCTGTTTTGCTACTTAGTCTTCATCTATTTGAAGAAGTAGGCAGTGGGGGGACTTTTTAACCCGATGTTTCTAGTTTTTGTAAGTTTGATTTTTATCCAGTAGGCATATGCGTTTTTATGGCAATATGGACTCAGTTATTAGTCATTGATTCTTTTCTTAATTGCCCTTTAGAATCAACAGAAACCAAAACTTGTGAAAAACAAATGTATACGACCTAATTCTTCACTCACTGCGTCTACATCATCCAATAATTAATTGGTCTAGATCAGTGTTCCTTCATGTACTATTTTTGTCCATCATTTACCTTTTCAACCTTCTTGTCAAGAATTTCCTTCATGACTTTGCAGAGTCCCTCAAAGCGGGCCTTGGCCTCCTCAAACTTCTTCTTTTCCTCTTCATCCTCAGGGAGCTCCAAGCCCTCCTTTGTGACACACACGAGGTTCTTGCCCTCATACTCCTTCAGCTGCTGTACAGAGTACTCATCAATGGGGTCAATCATGTAGATCACTTCAAATCCCCTCTTCTTCACACGCTCTACAAAAGCAGAGTTTTGGACAGCTTCTCTGCTCTCACCTGTAGAAACAAAAAATCCCAAAATATTTTACAGGAGACTGGACCTCGAAGCATCTACATCTACAAAATATTTTCAAAGCAGTCACTAAAATTGTTGATCCCTAACATCTAACAGGTTAAAGTGCTTTAATTAAAAATTCATCATAACACTGTTTTAAGAGAGTTCTACGGCACTTGTAACATAAGTGCTGAGGATTTGGTGTTGCTAAAGAGAAAAAAAAAAGAAAAGGGGGAGAAACAAGGAAGATAAAGACGTTTGATAGGAAAACAAGAGCAAATCACACCAGAGCACATGCCAACCACCCACTTACCAGTAGGCCAAAAAATTTTCAGGAGGAAATTTTCCAAAAAGAGAATTGCAGGAGTGTACTGGTGAAAGTACCAAAATACGATAAAGTTTTAATGGGATTGATAATAGGATATGTTGACTGATTTTGCACGGTTCAAAGTAAATTACAGCTTATCCGACCGCATTAAGCTCTAGCTAATTTATTAATCAATCTACCTACACATGAAGCTTTGCATGGCACTTAAGCAGGCCGGCGCCCAAAGATTAAAAAAAAATAATTGACCCAGCAGTAAATTTTTTTTGGTGGGCCCTATATTAATAACCCCTTTTTGGATGCATCTCACGACACACCTGCAGTGGAACTTTAGTTGTGTGTGTGTGTGTGTGTGTGTGTTCCCCGTCGAGCGCTTTATCAGGGCCACGGGGGTCAGCTCCCTGTTGCCACTGTCTGGGCTGACTTGATTTTTGGTACTTTTCATCGCACAATTTTAGATGTATCCTGGTATTTATGGTAATTATCATTTAATGCACCAAAGCACGCATTTCTGCTCTTGAGATTCAAAAAAGATTGATTGATGATTGAGTAGATATTTTATGTCACTCGACTCAATTTTGGTCATTTAAGTGCCAATAGGTTTCACCGCAACAAATCCAGGATAAATCTCGTTTTAGTAAGTTTTTCGCAGCTCGCAACCGCATACGGTCATATTATCATCATCATGCCAAAAGGATGGACAGACATCCATGAAAATCCCTGTAAATAAGGTAAAGACTTATTTACATTTGTATTTACAATA